CTTACCCCCCCAACCAAAAATTAGATTTTTTTCATTTTTTTTTGCCTGATGGGGTGGGGCTGGGGTTGCGCCGCCACGTGGCGCTTCCCGTTTCCCAAACCCCCTTCCCCAGCGGCCGCCACGCGTCCGCAAAGACGCGCGTCCGTGCGGACACGTCCGCGGGGTCGCAGACTCGGCCGCGGCCGCGGACTTGGTCGCGCCTGTCCGCCGCCGAGGGGGATTCATAGGAGGTACGGCCTCGTGCTCGAGGATGATCTCGTGGCGGATGGGTCAATCCGGTACTACTCCGTGCGGGCCTTCGAACACGTCGCTGTAGGCGTCGAGAAGTTCGGTGATGCGTGGATCCGAAGGTGAGTCCGTCGATGAAGTGTCATGGGGCGAGAGGGCGTGGAGAAAACACACCCCCATCTCCTCGATGTCGAATCTGATGATGGAAGCTCGCATGCTTGCGGCGGATTCCACGTGGCAACTAATCGAAGGATGAGGAAGTGGCACCGTGCATGGAACTAGTACCCCGTTCCGATCACGAATGTGAACGGTGCGGTGGAAAAAGTTCACCGGGTGATCCTCGCTTCGCAGCCATGACATGCCCAAGATCATGTCAAATTTGGTGTCCAGAATGTCAAAGGACACCGCCTCACTTGTGTGAGGGCCAAAGTACACTAGGACGTTGTCAATGTACCGGACGATTGACTTGTGCATGTGACCGTCCGCCAACGTGACTTGCGTAGGCTGGAACTTCCTCCGGACGCGTGGGCCAAGGCCGGCGCGCACCATGAAGTCCTGGCTGATGTAGTTGCGAGATGCTCCACAATCGATCAGGGCACTGCAGGTCGTCTCTCCGATCTGAATGCGTACGTAGAGCAATGGTGCGTCGATGTTGTCGTACCGTTGCGTCTTAAACTCGCGGTCGATCTTCGCGATGTAAGCGTGAAGGTCGACAACCTCTGCTCCGGCGTCCATCAACGGAGCTGGTACTGCAGTGTGCAAGTAATCCCGCAATTGTGCCATAAGCACGTTGCAATGCGGTTTCGGCAATCGTCCGGTCGAGGGAACGGGCATCCACTAGAAGTCCGTGAACGCCAACGGGACGAGTTCTTCAAGTCTTGACCATGACGTCGAATCCCCGACGATAGATTGCGGCGAAGCTGTCGAATCGGTTGCCGATGGTGATGAAACCGTGCATGCGATGGATTGTTGCACGTGGAGTGGTTGGTCCAGCGGTGGAACCAAGTGGACAACATAGCACTCGTAAGTGTAACGAGAACTTGCGACGTTCACGTTCTCCCCAGATGTGCAGGAGGCCGCTAGCAAGGCGACCGAATCTGGCGGAGTAGAAGGTGGAATCGCCTCACCTTCCGCGGAGCTCAGTTTTCCGAGCTGAGGCGGGGTCGCACATCCTCCTTGCCCTGATCTTGGCACAGGGAGGTCTTGTGTTTGGTGTTGTTGCACCAATAGCAACTGCCGTAGCGGCCGCGGACCTTGTACTCTGCCTTGGTCAAGCCGAACTTGACCCATGGAACTTGTACTGGCTGTCCATTTCCGGCCTGCGCTGCGGATTTCGCCTTCCCATTGTTGCGGGACTTGTTGTTGCTTCGCGGCTGGACAGCAGCCACCTGATCTCCGTCACTTGATGCTGGAGTGGCTGCTGGGTTATCTCCACTGTCCAACTCGACTGCAGCGAAGTGCTGCTGTCGCGGACCAGTTCGTACCTTCTCCACATAGGTCGGCTGCCATGGTGATTTCTCGTGTGCAGCGGACCTGTTGGTCTTGATGATCTCTCTCGCCTTATCGATAATCTCGGCGAAAGCGGAGTACTGCTCGCAGTCACCAAGAGCCTGGCTCAATGCCGCACAGGACCTGTTGTAGAACTCGCGGCGTAGATGCGTGAATGTCAATTCCAGATTGGGCACCGCCGCAATCTTCTGCCACTCCGTGAGCCAATCCCGTGTTGCAGTGTTGCCCTGTGACATGGTGAACAAATGGTTGATGGCGAGTGTCGGCGCGTCGTCGACGATGAACCACTTCTTCCACAGCCGTGTCAGTTCCTCCCATGTGATTTTGTCCTCCAAGTTTGGTACGTCAACGCCGTGAGAGGCTGCCAGGTGGCTCAACCAGGTCTAGCATTCGCCCTTTGAGTTCAGGAACAAAGCGCCGATGTACGCATGCTTGGCTACGGGCAGAATCCTGAGTTGCGTTGTGAATGCTTCCCACCAGAGGACCGGATCCTACTGCGTGTAGTCGTCGAACTTGTCCAGTTGGAAAGTTGGCATCTTGTACATCTTCGGATTGTCCTCCGTGTTCGTCGCCTGCAGCTGCTGGACCTCGGTCTTCAAGTTATGCAGCTGACTGCTGATGGTGGTCGGCGCAGCGAAGGTGCTGATGTCGCCAAGCATTGCCACTACGTGGTCAACGCGTTCCTCCAGTTGGCGGCTAGAGGATGCACCGCTGGAAGCCCCAACAACTGGTCCTGGTACAACGTTCTCCAGGTCCAGCATTCGGGCATTGAGTGCCCGAGTTGCGTCCTCATGGCTCTGCACTGTGTGGCGGAGCTTCGCCAACTCCTGATGCTGTTGCGTCAGGTTGTGGTACTGCTTCTCCAACTCGTACTGTTGGTGGTTGCACGTGTACAACAGCCGTGTCACGAGTTTGGAGAGAAACTCCTTATGCTGCTCTTCTAGTGTCGCGTCGTCGCCGTTGGGTTCAAAGTGCCAGAATTTGAGTCTGTCCACGCTGGCTGCTTCATGTCGCTGCAGGAGGTCCTCGGCTTCCTTGTGGCGAGCCTGGGCATCTGCGTCCGCTTCGGCCTGTAGCCGGAGCGTTTCTGCTGCTGCCGCTTCGTCAGCCTGTTGCTGGGCAGCCTTGACTGCCAGATGGCGTTGTTCCTCAGCCGCGATCAGTGCGAGCTGAGTTTCGAACCGTTGTCGGTATTCGGCAATGGATTCATTTGCCAGTTGGTCTGGCATGCCCATAAGTGAGCCCGTCATGGTGGCGGGGCACTGCTGACGTGGCACTAGTATGATGTGGCACTGGTGACATGGCACTGCTTACGTGGCACTGTGTCTGACGTGGCACTGCTGACGTGGCACTGCTTACGTGGCACTGCTTACGTGGCACTTTGTCTGACATGGCACTGCTGACGTGGCACTGCTTACATGGCACTGTGTCTGACGTGGCACTGTTTACGTGGCACTGTGTCTGACGTCACTGCTGACGTGGCACTGTGACCTGGCACTGCTGACGTGGCACTGCTGATCGGGCACTGTGACGTGGCACTGCTAACGTGGCACTGTGACCTGGCACTGTAACGTGGCACTGCTGATTTGGCACTGTGACGTGGCGCTGCTGACGTGGCACTATACCGAACCGAGATGCATGCAAGGGGTGGTTTGGAGGGAAAACGTAGGTAGGTAACCAACCCAACAATACTTTCCTCCGGCCCTAATCAACAGATAAAAAAAATAAAAAATAAAAGAGGACTACTTCCTTCCCTTTTTTTTTTTTTTTTTCTGTCGATTTATGATGAGTAGGATTGTCAGAAGAGTATTATGAACGAGATCTAGGCTGGGTGCCGCAAAGTTTCGGCTTTCACTAAAATGCCATCTTTGAAAAAAATATTGCGAAATAGAGTAAAGATAC